GAGGTGACTCTCTTAGTTCATAACGGTGGGGAGGTACTTAGAATGTCCACCAAAGCTAAAAGGAGAGAAAACTGGGACTAAAACCTCACAGAGGAAGGTGACTTCATTCTCTGCTAAGGATGCATTACCCCTCCGTAATAACAGCAAATGGTTACTTGCTGCTAGGAAAATGAATAATGGCTGCATTTCACTTAGACAAAGTGCTGGTATTTTACATACAGAGAAAACCTCTTTCTATCACTATTGCAGGAAACCTCATGTTAAAGTTCATTTTTGTTGTACCTCTCTGCCTGCCGTAGGTCAAAATACTGAATGTAACTTGTACTTCATGCTCAGCATCCAATCATTTCTTCGCACTTTACATGCTTTTTGCATTGAGGTTACCTTAGGAGAACTGTTCTGCTAGCATAAGAACAAGTTCGTGATGTTAATGGGACAGACAGCTTCAGATGTTGATAAACCAACTGACACAAATGCGTTATTGTTAAAGAGATGAAGTAACAGAGCAGCGCAGTAAAACATCACCTGTAACGGATATGATAACATGTAAATGATATCAGGCTGTAAATTCTGCAGCAACCTCAACACTCGAAGATGCTGTTTTAACTGGGTTAAATGAGAGTTTATAGTCAGACAGCCTTACCCAGGCATTTACCAACCAGAGGTTATCAAATCTGAGCAATGTGAAATCCAATCAAGTACATCTACATGAAGTGCTCTGAGAGTACCTTAAGGATGGGTTCAGTCAAACAGTTGGAGTGTAAAGCACTGTACACTTTGTACTGTACACTCTGTACACTGAGCTACACCGATGGAAGGACAATTACAATTATCTGGTGACAATAAAACAATGTAAAGCCAGTAAATAGAGGACAGGCATGTAGGCACTGCAAGTCAAACTGCATGCCATAGTGTTGGTTGGTGTTTGTGTGTGTTTGTCACAGAAGAAGAATGTACTGTGTTATTATAATACCAATAGCCCAAGCAAGAGAAATACAGGCTCAATGTTATAAGAATGTATAAAATTATTATTATATACCTTAAATAAAAGAGGAAACAGTAAAACCTTAAACCTAAAATGAACATCCACATTTTTCCAGATGATTTTTTTTTATGTCCTGATAAGTAAAAGAAAGAGAGTGTACTTTATGCTTTATACTTTTATACAGTTACCTTGATGTCCAATATTTAGGCCTGTGTGCATTAAAGGCTTGAAAAGCAAAATTAAAGTGCTGTAACTTCTGCTGGCAGTACGTTGCTCGTAGTAGGATTACTGTTGTGTTGCCTGGTGCAAATTTGGCATTTCAGGACAATGCTTTTCGATTAGTCATCATGGCTGCTTGTGATCTAATTTGCAGCACAAGGCAGATCACGACAGTGGCTTTATGAATATTCATACACTGTGCAAATACAGGCGTCTGTGCTCTCTGGGTAAACCGATGAAACCACATCAGGAACAGAAAATGCAATTTCCCTCTGAAGAGTAAAGATGGGTTGCGTTTTTCAATTCCTCTTCCTTTATTTCCTCCTACTCTCCCTGGCTGTCTCCTTCTCTGTGTTTGTGAAATAAAGTAATGAGGTAAGTGATCATACCATGGATAAATAATTAGACAGCTCGGGGGAGCGGCACAAATGCCAGGCAGGAAATGTGCGTGCCTGGCAGCTCTACAACAAACAGGCTGTCACTCCATGAAATGTCAAAGTGTAGGCCACGGTGATCACCCCAGCAGGTTGTCTGGGCGTACGCCGCGTGTTCTGCTGAGGACTCCCCCGCCTTTTCTTTTTTTGGAAGCCTTGACTTAGCCGTGGTGACAGAAGGAGGACGCACAGCTCATGAAAACACAATAGATGATGAGCAAGCCCTCCCAGAAGTGACTTGACCACAGTGAGAGAGAGATGAGCCTGTGGTGAGAGAGATGAGCCTGTGGTGACATTGCTCACCTTCCACAGGGAAGCAAAACTGGAGGTTATGAATTGAAAATGGCTTTTAAATATGTGAGTGAGTCCCAGCAGAAGCCGGTTACTATAAAAAGACATGCAGGCAGGGTTATGTCGACAGCAGGGATTTCCTCTTTCATGCCAGAGTCCTGCAATGTGCGCCCGTGTCAGGTTTCTGCCGTATGTGTAGGACAAATAAGCACTAACCTGTTTGACAGCAGGTTTGAATGAGCACAATTGATCACTGTCACAATATACTCCTGGAATAAAAGGTGAGGAGGCAGCCTTGAATGAAACTCTGGGTGAAAGTTTAGAATAGAAGAATCGCCCTTTATTGTTAGTTTGGATTAGACCCAAGCTGATCAAAGGTTTACAGTAAACTAAGAGCATTACAGGGGAGTGGGGCACTTCAGCATGACTTGTTATAAAAAAAAATAGGAGTGGCGTTGACGTGTGAAATGTCACTGTTTTGGTCAGTTTTTTTTCTTCCAGCAAACCTCATGGTGAACTGGGCAGCAACTAAACCTTCTGCTCGAATGGCAAACAACAGAATGTATTCCACTTTTCAACAATTTTTTAATTTTAGTGCATTAAAGTATGCAAAAGCATTGTCCCATCTCAACACAGGGGGGATTGTGACACGGACCTCAGCAGCACAGACTTCCTACGCCAGGAACCATAGTTCAAAGAGAGATAGCAGATTTTCTTCATTATTTGTATCTGCCGTTTGTATCTTTTTAATACATTTTGTGCATATTTGCAATCAAATTAAATGCCTTTAGTAGTATTTTTGTATCTCTTTCTTTAATGTTTTGTATGTCATTTTGCATCCCTTTGTGGTTGTTTATTATAATTCCGCTGTTTTTGACCAGTTTTGGTAATTTTATAATTGTTTAGCAAATTTTTTTTAGTTAATTTGTGCCTTTTTTTTAAGTCATTTTGCATCCCTTTGTAGTCCTTTTTTGTATCCATTTTCATTTTGTATTGCTTTGAAGCTGTTTTATGTGTCATGGATATTTTTGGGAGTGTTTTGTCTTTTCTTTGTAGACATTTTGCACCTCATGAGTTGCTTTGTGTCTCTTTGTTTCTTTTTCATGCATTTGTAGATACGTCACATCAATTTTTTTTGTCACTTGGCTGCACTCTGTTTTTCAACTCTTTGTAGTCCTTTTTTGCCACAAGCCAATTACTTAAAATGCGGAATGGGAGAAGTTTCTTCTTAATAATCGAATCAATTTTAAATTTCTTATTGTTGACTTATAAAATCCTAAATAATATGGCCCCCGATTACTTAGCGGATCTCCTCTGTCTGTGTAGCCCTAAGAGAGCTCTAAGATCATCGGGTCAACTGCTCGGCTGAAGACCAGAGGAGACCGTGCCTTTGCCACTGCCGCACCCAAATTATGGAATAATCTTCCTCTTGACATTCGCGCATCAGATTCTATCCAATCTTTTAAATCACGTTTAAAAACGTTCTTGTTTAATCTGGCATTTAAGGCTAATTAGTGTGGTTTTTATCTGGCTCTGCATTTATATTATGTAATTATTTTATATCTGTAATTTATATTTTATATTCAGATTTTATCTGTATCATGGTTTTACTGGAAAGCACTTTGGTGTACTTAGGTCTTTAAATGTGCTATACAAATAAATTTGATATGATATGACGATAATAAAAGAAGCTTGTACTAAAATTCATTATATTTACTACCTTGATTGCTGAAAAGCATGATTGAGTTCAATAAATGCATCAATAATGTGTGAATTAAATAATATAGTATATTTCTATGATTGCTTCCATCATAAGTTGTTAATATTAATACCTGGATTTCAAGATGTTTTCTTAATTTGATTTGACTGGAGGATCCGGTTACCTGAATACAGATACCAGCAGGTCAGCTGTTTTGGTCTGAATGCCTCCTTTGCTTGTGTTTAGTGGGTAATCCCTGGCTGCCCCTCCTGTGGATACAAATCACGATGTTCTCTTTCCCATGTGACCGCCCCTGTTTGTCTGAGCAGGGAGAGCTTAAGCTGAAGACCGCTCTGATTGGATTAATGAAGGACTGCGCTAAGGTAAACACACTCACACAAACACTAACAGGAAGTGCTGGGATTTTTCTTTACAAAATAAATGCATGTGTTAAATGGGCCGATTACTACAGCAACACCTATTACAAACAACAATTCAATTCAGTTTTCAATTCAGTTTTATTCATATAGCGCAAAATCACAACAACAGTCACCTCAAGGTGCTTTATATTATAGCACACCTGTGAACTGGCAGAATTTGGTGAGTATGTTTTATGTTGTTGTGTTATCATTGTTAATTATTCATTTTTTAAGTTGCTGATTAACTAATATTTTCAGATGACAAAGAATTTTAAACATGTAACATAAAGCAATTTAACAGGCACACAAAATTCTGTTTTTCAGTAGGAAAATTTCTCAGCAAGTCTTTCACCCAAAATCAAACTGCTCAACCTGAGCTGTGCCACTGATGTATTGTACTCATTTCTAACCCTATCCATCCTGGTCGCTCCTAATGGAAATCTTATAATTTTTATCTGTTCGTCCCACCATACATCATAGCAGGTTTGACCGTCATCTCGTAAACCTTCCTTTTCACTCTTGCTGCCATCCTTCTGTCACAAATCCCCCCTGATACTTGTCTCCACCTGCCTACACTTTCTTCTTCACGTCTCGTGTGGACTGTGCACTGCTTTGGATGGTTGATACTCAACTATGTTCACTGCCTCTGCTCCTTGCAGCTTCACTGCTACACACCTGTATTCTGTCTTGCATTCATCTACCTCCATTTCTCCTGGCTCTCTTCCACCTGCTCCCTACTCCCACTATGAAGAACAATGTCATCTGCGAACATCATAGTCAGCAGAAATGTCTGCCTGGCCTCCTCTGTCAGTCTGTCGTTATCATTATAAACAAAAAGGGGGTCAGAACAGATCCCTAATACACCCCAACTTAAACAGTAGTGCGTTTATTAGATATAATTCAGATGGATTTTAATTCCAAATTTTTTGCTTTATGTTTACTAAGGGTGAAAGTGAAGTTTTCTTTTTTAGCTTTTATTTTGACATCCCTTGCCCGGAAGTACACCCTGTTCGTGCACGTTCGCTTCACCAAAACATCATCGAGCAGCAAACAAACGGCTGCGAAGCTACGATGTTTTCTGTTTTCACCAACCGGAGAGACAAAAAGGACGGAAGAAAACGGTGCGGGTGTGCCTCAGCGTGACCGACATCTTAGCAGCGAGTAGCCAAAAGGAGACCTGTGCGAGTGTTTTCTTCCCGGGGCTGCCGCCGGAGAGCTGTGCCTCGACAAGGCTGGGCGGGGTGATGTTTAGGTTCCGGTATAAAGGCAGCGACAAAATGGGAACCAGACGAGATGTGAAGCCGGCAGCCCGCGCTGTGCTCTTATCTCGGAGACTAGAATGAGAAGTTGGTCGCCCGGGTGTGAAAGGGCGGCGGTATAACCGTCTGGGGAGGCCACTGGCGGGGGAGAAGCGTGTCGCTGCCGCGTCCCTCCGCCCCTCATCCGCCAGTACCATGAGGACGATCTTTACATTCTGCTGTCTTTTCCTTATTACCGGCGGATCGGACCGGGCGTGGGCCACCGGAAACCTCACTGTCGATGGCAGCAACAGGACCAACGCGACGGCCGACAGCAGCAGCAGGTATATCACAATCGGGGACGGGTCATTGCAGGAGTTCGAGTTCCCTGAATACACCAACGGCGTGATTGTAATCTCCAGCCGATACCGGAGCGCCGCGGCCGCCAGGACCGGCCGCCAGAGCTTAAAACAGACTGTGAGAGTTCACTCCTTGGAACCAGAGGTGCTCTCGATAATCAACGTGACGGACGGCGGCCACGGAGGACAGGCTCAGAGCTACATCATCAACATCCGCTCTGGGCTGCCGGGCAGGGCTCAGCTGCAGATCCAGCTGCTGGACCTGGACCAGGGCTCGGTGCCGGTTCTGATTGAGGAGAGGACAGATTACTGCATCAAAGTGGAGCCCAGTGAGGATGACCCGGCCACCCGGCTCATCCAGTCGGGTGGTCTGTCCCATTTCTCTGAGAACCCCGTTCTTTTTGCCTTGCTGCCCCTCATCTTTGTCAACAAGTGTGCCTTTGGGTGCAAGGTGGAGGTGGAGGTGCTGCGGGGCCTGCTGAAGAGCCCCATGCCGTTGCTCCTAGGCGCACTGGGTCAGTTCCTGGTGATGCCTTTATATGCCTACTGTGTGTCCCAGTTGGCCTCACTGCCCAAGGCACTCGCTCTGGGGTTGGTCATCACCTGTTCTGCCCCAGGTGGAGGGGGAGGATACCTGTACAGCCTGCTGCTCGGAGGCGACGTCACCCTAGCCATCTCCATGACGCTGGTCTCCACAGTGGTGGCGGCGGCAGCCATGCCTTTGTCGTCAGCCCTGTACGGTTGGCTTCTGGGTGTCCATGCTGCCCTGCACGTGCCCTTTGTGAAGATCTTGGGCACCTTGCTGTTCATCGCTATCCCCATCTCACTGGGCATGCTGGTGAAGCTGCGGCTGCCTGCCCTCACTCGCGTCCTGCTGGCGCTCATCCAACCCTTCAGCTTCGTGCTCATTGTGGGCGGCATCTTCATGGCCTACCAAATGGGAGCGTCCATCCTAGCTAACGTCCAGCCTCAAATCGTGGTCGTTGGGATTACGGTGCCTTTGCTGGGCCTGGTGGTCGGGGCTGTCCTGGCCAAGCTGGCGGGCCTTTCTCCGCCACAGAGGAAGACGGTCAGCATCGAGGTGGGCGTCCAGAACAGCCTGCTGGCTCTCGCGGTCATGCAGCTGTCTTTCCGGCGACTGGAGGCAGACTTTGCGTCGCAGGCGCCCTTCATCGTGGCCCTCAGCAGCACCTCGGAGATGCTGCTCATCGTGCTGGGATACGTCACCCAGCGGAGGCTGTGCGGCTCGGCCGTCACCAGGAGCGACGCCTGATTGTAGCTGCAGTTTTGCTCTTAACGTTTTTTGAAGAATGAACCGTTTGAATCCTGTGGAAAGCTGGTGTCCCTCTGTCTCAGCCTCAAGACGCCCAACAATCACCAACCCAACATCACTGTTGTTGTACACAGGACAGTGAATGGACTTTTTATGGGACTTTTGTTGTCGTTTTGGTATTTTTTTCATGAAAACCAAAGGCCTTTTACCCCTTTTTGTGTTTATTTTCCAGTACGTACTTTTTCAGATAAGATTATACTGTGAGGTAAATGTAAATATTCTTAAGAAGACAAATCCCTATTAAAAGAAAAGATATTTTTCTATCAGATTACTTTTTTTTTCTTTTTTTTCTTTTTTTGTGATCAAAAAGCAAAGACTGATATTTGTATCATGTTTACAAGCGGTCCATGTGTCTTAGCCTGTGGAGGGGGACGTTTTGTGGGGTGGGGTTAAAGTGGAAACTTTTGTGACTCAAACAGGAACATGGTGAAATTATTTTGAAAGTATTTGCCTCTGATTGTGTGTCCGGGATCTTTAAATCCATGTACTTGAATATTTGCAAGGAGAAATTCAGAAAAAGTCAATAAAAAAAAATTTCTTGTTAAAGCAGAACTTGGTTTGTTGAGTGTGTGTGTGTGTGTGTGTGTGTATGCATGCATGTGAGCATGTGCCAGAGAAAACCTACCAAACAGGTCAGTGCCCTCTGAGGCCCAACAGGCTGTTTGTTGAAGTTAACGGAAGCCAGGCTGCTTTCACACAGTCACGACCTTTATAAATGTTTGGTTTCGCTTTGACGTGTAGATGGTGAAACTGACTGTTGAGTGTTTTAATACTGAAACTTTCGTTTTTGCCTCTTTCAAATTGTGTAATCAACCACACAGTTAGTGAGGGGCTTTCTTGGGGCTAAGCCATTCATATGTAATTAGGACAAAGTGTGGTACATCGATGTACTTAGAGGAAGCAAATATATTTGAAACCACTGAACAGTTCACCAGATGGCTCCAGTAGCACTTTGGTGTTAGTGCACCAGGATTTCACAGGCACTGTAACTCACCTTCAAGCACATATGAGTGATATTCTTCATATAAGTGCAAGTGTGACAGTAAGATTTTTACTTTTGCAAACAGTGTTTACTTATATTCAGTTTTATTGCTACAGTGGGGTCAACAGGGTTTAGTTTGTCTTGCTTTTAGTGTTAAGACAATTTAATCATCTACTATAATAAGAGATTGATAAAATCGAGGAATCTGTGACCGTGTTACATTATCCAAAAACATCAAGTTTTAAGTTTATGAGGTCCCAGCTGTGCCAAAATTCACATTCACTCCATGTCGACTGCATAAGCGACCAAACATTTGTCTGTATTTCACCTTTGATGAAACGGTTTCGACAAATATACCGTCGTGCTGTGAATTTGCTTTCCTAAAAAAGTATTTGTGTGTGTCAATCCATCATGTTACACTTCCTCTAATTTCCCCGTGTTGTTTGTCCAGTGAAGTTCCACATAGCCAGGCTTTCTTTGTCACAGCTGAAGCGAACCAAAGCTGAAAAGACGACACGCGTTTGCCACGTCTGTACATAATTTTGACACAATTGCAACATCATATAAAAAGCTTTAGTGTTTACCCTACGGGTGGCTGTCTCTGAAAAACGTGCTGCTGGGAGGTTTTCCAAATGATTGTTGTGTTTTTTTAGTGCTTGAAGCACAACACGCCTCACTTGGGCTGATGATAAAAGTGTAAAAAAAGGAAACAAAACCAGTTTTCTGAACTGTCGTAGTGTTACAGGTGAGCTTGGATTTTTTGTGTGTGACTTCCCGAAACCTCAAAAAACTCACTCTGGCTGACTGAAGTATTGAATGCAAGCTCGAAATTCAGAGTTTGCACAGCACCACAGAAACTCCCCTTCCTGCAGCTCTTTTGCAAAACATGCAAGTTTAGATGTGCACTTCCTGTTTACAGCACCAGGCTTTTATGTGCCTTCATTAGGAAACTCTCTGGGAGTGATTTGTGGTGGAAAAACAAAGGCCTGGCCTGCTGCAGATTTCAGAGAGCTCTCAGGAGGGAGGTGCAGCTGTAAAACTGCCAGACCTCTGCTTCAACTTGCAGAGGAGCACGAGGCCAAGAGATCCACGTTTCTTACAGAACAACCACCAAAAGAAGAAGAAGAGAAACATGGGATGTCTGAGTCACGACTGCTTTTTTCTTCCCTCTAATATTAAAACATGTGTCGTTTAGCCAGCAGAGGCCAAATGTGACCCAGATAAGTGTAAATGCAATAATGCGGTCAATGAAAATGAACCTTTGTCACAATATAAGCCTCTTTGACTGTTACGCATTCAGAGAATGGAGAGGGGGGATTGCCTTTAACTGATTTGTAAACATTCATAATTTATTTTTAAAGTAATATTTGTTTTGAAAAATATTAAATGAAAAATATATAAGGAAATAATAATTATTAATATACGGTAATTAAATATTAAATGTGTTTTTATTTATTTTTTATTATTTAATTGATTTATATTTTTACTTTTGTATTGCTTTTGAGTAACAACAATAAAACTTCTACCACTACTACGACTAATAATAATACGTAGGAGAAGAATTAGTTTTTTAAAAATAGGCTACCTGATTAATAATAGTAAATTTTATTTCTGTAGAACAATTAGCAAAAATTGCTGCATGTATAGTAGCACAAGGATAATTTCATTTTATTAAAATTAATAAATTAAATCTCATTTCAAGAACAGTTTAATTTAGTTATTACTGAACTGAATAATAATTCATACCTTATAATTAATTAATATAATTTGTCAGCTCTAAAGGACTGATTATATTAACTGTAGTTGCATGCACAACTGCATTTTGAGACAAAAAGCAAATACTAAATACGTAATAGAACTGCAAATAAATCTAGTAAAAAGTTAAGTATTGTTTCTTGAAATGTTTTAGTGTTATAGTACTGGATTACTTCAGTAAAGTACAAGTATGCCAAAAAGTGTTAATTTACTTCACACTTAGCTTAACATGTGAGCTAAAAAGCAAAACTGGGAAAAAATAAAATGTAAGTACATTAAAATGCAGGTCATCCTGACACGGGAACACACAGCGTCATGTTTTAGTATTAGATGATAACAAAACCAAGTGGATCAGGTCAACAGATTTATTTACAAATAGAGTGATTTCAGCAGTTTACCAAGTTTGTATATGTAACACTTTTACTCTGATGCAGGCAGGTAAATATACAAAAGTACTGGCAGTAAGTAAGTGCAGGTTAAAGCAACAAATGTTTTTCCAAGAGCATGAAGTTACCACAAACAGGTGAAATAAACTGACAAAAGTGAAGAAAAAAAACACGTTTCTGCACTGCAGGAGAGCTGGAATGATGTTAGACAGGTATTTAACGAGATCACAGGTGCAGCAGGTGACCACACCTCCACAGTATTCAGAGAGAGATAGCATCAAATATGTAGATGTGGTGTGGTGTTTTTGTGGTGTGTTGTCACCTTTGTTTCAAATTGATAAGAGTAACTGATTCTCAGAGCTGAGGGGACTGGGCAGCACAAGGTGTTAGGACATTTGATTAGGAATTTGAAATATAAAGTGGAACTGTAGCATGAAGTGATCTGAAAATAATGAGTATGATGTTTAACTGGATTCTGTAGCAAATGGGCTGGAGTGATGCATTTCCTGCGCTGAGTGTGGACAGGAAACGGCTGCGTCATTCAGGCCTGTACACAATGAATTGCAATAATCTAATGAGGAGCAAATGAGGGTGTGGATACGTGTTCAGTTGTATTATTCTGAAGCATTGATCGTACACTGGTATTATTTCTAATCTGTATAAAGCAGGACTGCATGAGACCTGACATGCTGGTTGAAACTGAGATGGTGATGGGAAATAATGCTCAGATTTCTAGCTAACTCATTTGTGTTGGGTATCTAAAGGGAATCTGGATTTGTGTTTTTCTAAAAAATGCAGCTGGCAATAATTAACATAACAATATCAGGACGCTTGTAATGTGCATAAAACAGGTCAAAAGACTGACCCCACACGAGGTCATGAGGCCAGCTGATGAGGTAAGTGATCACTCTGATAAGTAGGAGCAGCAAATAGAGCTTCTGTGCTCAGAGCTGGATCTCTTTGCCTGAAATGGCAATTTTAGGGATATCCATTCCGTTGGGCATCTTTCTTTGCCTTTAGACAACAATTCTGATGGCAAAAGAGCCAAACGGGACAGGCACAAAAAAAAAAAGAAAAAAAAGGGATATCCATTCTTGATACAGATCATAGGTAGGAAGTTTTAGCTCACAGGGATATTGATACATATGCTGAAACTTTGAGCATGCTTAACATGGGTATCTAATATCGACAGAAAATAATAAAAATCAGAATAGGTTGATTCTAAGGTGAGCTTTAGGTGTGTGGTATATTAAGGTCAGCTTCGGGTCAGGAAAGCTTTAGGTTCAGGTTAGGATTTAGCTGTGACTAACAGGCCTAGTGCTGCGTGTGTGTTTGTGCCCTGAGGTATCAGTTGAGGCTGTTCTTAAGGAGGCTGACAGGTGATGACGCTCAGTCTTGCTGCCTTGCTGCTGCTGTTGCAGATAAACTCCTCTCTGAACATCAGCACTACTGTTTATATTCCTATCCTGCACATTAGCGCCACAATGGGAAGAGAGGGCTCTTAAAAATTCATGAGGAACCACTGCATTAAGTTTTCATGAGTTCCTTTCACCGGCTCCCATGGGATGGTTTTCCTGCTGCCTGCTCTGCAGCAATAAAACTGGGAAATCCAGAAAACACATGAGTGGCTGAGGGGAAAGGAAGTGAGGTAGATCTAAACCGAAGACTAGATGGAGCCTGCTGCTGTACAGTCATTGTTACAGCGCGATTTGGTAAGGTGTGGCACTCAGCAGGCCACTCCTGATGTGAGTGAAAATCATATTTGCTCAACTATTAACCCTGTGGAGTCTCTGCCATTTTAATCTTCCCCTTCCCTCTCGTGCCTCCCCCCCCCTTTGAACTAAATTGTGTTCTGTGTATTCAAAAATGTAACTGATGTCATGTTTATGGTTTATGGTATCTGTTTTTAGACCATAGTGTGAAAAATGTTCCAGAATAAAACTGTGTTGAGAATGAACTGGACCTCTCAGCTGTGTTTACAAAGTTAAAACGTTATAATGAAGTTATGACATGGCCTGCTGTGGCGTACAGGTCAACCTGTCAGTTTTTAAAGTGACACTCGATTACAGGATTGAGACCATAGAGTCATTGGGTAAGTAAATACTGAGGTCACAGATCAAGGGTCATTCCCTGA